CGAATTAAATTTTATCTTTTCAATAACCTTTGAGCCTTTTTTTTAAATTATACATTTTGAATGCCACGCAACTGCAAAAGGAAGGTAAATAACTTTACAAATATATTTCAGAGTGAATCGATTTCTATGTGAGTGTGTTTGCTTCATATCGTAATGCCGCAAATGGTAGCAAATTTTAATTTATAGAATAGATTTAAAATGTTTTAAGAAAAAAAAATGGTGTCTCTGATTTCACTCACATTAAAATATCTATTGGTGTGAGTGTGTGTGCACGTTTGTGTGTGGTCACGCGCGAGCGCGCGTGTCTGTGTGTGTGTGTGTCTGTGCGCGCGCGCGCGCGCGTGCGAGTGTTGTGTGTGTGATATCCGGCGAGAAAATCCTATCAATGATGGAAAATAAAAATGAAAAATATAACTGCATAAATAAAATAAAAAAAATTACTCGTGAAACAATTTTTTTGAAGAAAACATATTTGTTTTTATATTTGTAAACTAAATCTTCAAAACATTTTTTTAGATAATAAACGTAGGATTATTTCGCAGGTATTCATTATCTTATGCAGTTTTATTTTTAATCCTTTTCCTCGTTTATTATAAATGATCAAATATTTGATTTTTTTTTTTTTTTTTTTTTATAAATTGCAATAATGTATATTCAAAAATCACTTAAACCTTGATTCCTGCAAGATTAGAGATTAATAGTTCAAGGACAACATAACATTTTAAATGAAGCTGGAACAGAATTATTCAATTTCCGTATTTATTCGCAATTAAATAGTATATTCTATAAATAGGAAGGTGCTTGATTGTAGGAAATTTAACGACTCCCCAAAATGAGTCGTAACTTGATGAACAAAGCTGAGACAATTATATAAGAAATGAATTACATAACGAGAAGAGAAGAGAAGATTACTAATAACCTATATTTTTGCAGTTAAAAGTACTGATATCAGGAACGCTATCCAAATATATTTGTCTGTATAAAATTGATTGAACACTTAACTCTATGCTTTTCATTCTTATTACGTTAGCTTCATTGTCCTTGCATCATTTAGATTAGCTTGTGAGTGGGGTGAAGACACGTCTCATCGTTGACCCCGATGGCATTGAAGGTCGTATTTAGTAAAGTCAGTTGATAACGACATCAGAATACAAGTGTGCTTCAGATTGATTAGAGGAGTAACGTACTCTGAGAAACAGATTGATTGGTAGATATGTAACATTTGAAATAGATCGATAGATAGATAGATAGATAGATAGATAGATAGATAGATAGATAGATATATAGATAGATAGATGGATAGATAGATAGATATATAGATAGATAGATGGATAGATAGATAGATGAAGAGACAGTGATAGATAGATAGAGAGATAGATAGATAGATAGATAGATGAAGAGACAGTGATAGATAGATAGATAGATAGATAGATAGATAGATAGATAGATAGATAGAAAATTGTTACGTATTTGAAAAGCCATTCCTCTTGAAAACATATATCGTTGAACCCGTCTGACAAGGCTCCTTGATGTTTGTTCTACGTGAACCCAACAAAGCGTTTAATGTGTTTAGATGAATTTCATCAAAAAAGCCACAAGTAGGCGTGCTCCTCCGCAAACCCGAATGTAAAACCAGTTTTTTTTTTGTTGTTTAACACGTAAACTAATTCAGATACATGAAAGAGAAGTACACCGTTGGACAGAGCAGGTTTACAGCTTCAATTTAATGGATTTGGCAATAGCCTTGACTATAGCCTTTACTTTTCACCAGTCATGAATATTTTGCATCTCTGCAGTGCCAGCTTGAATGTTGCTTGTTACCCACAATGTTGTCGCTATTGATGGGATCGGTGCCAACAGCTGATTATGACATGAATTTAGTCTCCTTTCTCGTCGTTCAGCAAGCATTGGTGAAGGTCAATGTGTGCATTAAACGACTGTTGACCGTCGACTAAACTAGAAATAGCATCATCCGCCTCTGTAAGCCATTGTGATAAATCTATCTATCTATCTATCTATCTATCTATCTATCTATCTATCTATCTATCTATCTATACACACACACACACACACACATATATATATATATATTTGGTTGGATAGATGTGAGTTTGTGACCCTGGGTTTCACGCTTTTAGCGATCGTCAGACAAACACACAAACTCACATCTATCCAACAAATATGTTAGCTCTATCTCTGATATTGACACACATATGCGGCATATAATATATAAATAATTATATATATATATTTATTTATATTTATACACTTTTCACATATATATATATATATATATATATATATATATATATATATATATATATATATATATATATATATCATAGTTGGACACTTGTATTCGTGTTTACTTGGGAGGTAGCCAATCCCTATTGCAAATGATCGCTCAGGCACGTATATGTTTGTTCACCACCCACCCAGAGAGCCAACCTGGTTTATAATGCAAATATGCTGAGCAGACATTAGTTACAGTTTCTGGTAGAGAACGTATTATCTAGCATGATCAACAATCTGAACAAGGCCAGCACACTCAAATCCACGATAACGATGACTTGTGACTAATAGATCTGCTATCGATGGACCCACCAAAGCTCACAAGTGGTATGGTTTTTCAGGCACTTTCCAAATGAGCTACACGCTGGGATCGTCCCCCCTCCAGGACGATAAATTCAGGAATCTTTACAAATTAACAATGCTGAGATTCGATTCGGGTCTCATGGTCAGAAAGCGAATGTTCTAACCAATCGGTCACGCACCCATATATATATATATATATATATATATATATATATATATATATATATATATATATATATATATATATATAGGTTGTGATGAGTTAATTGTCGCCATATTATATTTTTAATTTCGCGAATGCGCGTTGTTCCTTTTTGATTTTGTTGCATTTTGTTATATTATAGCAGACTGAGTTCGGCACCATCTGTAAGAAAATAGCACCATGACGAAAGAAATTTGGAAACAGCATGATGTACTGCTTGGCACTCGCATCGGTAGCCCCAATACTAACATTTCCGAGTATTTGTCTGAGGATAGTTCAGAGGATTCGGAAAGATTTGGATAAGTCTAATTGTGATTACGAATGTACAGCAGCTCGAAAAACTCACTCTGATCATTCTGATAAGAACTCCTGGTGAGGCCTTGAAAGTCAACATGAAAGCCTATATCAAGGCCCTTTAGGAAATTCTGTTGACCTGGTTTAAGAGTGTGTTTCTGGAAGACCTTATATCTGGCAAAAGCACTCTCCACCATGCCATACAAGCAGGAGAACTTGACATGACTGACAGACAAACTATAAACTATATTAATACAGTTTATAATTTTTAAAAACAAAGATCATAACATTCATCGAGTGGTTAGTGGGTTAATACATCTTTAAAATTTAGTTAGCGAAGTGATTTCGTCACTTTATATCATTAACTTTACTAATTTACTTTTTGTATGAATGATTCATTGTAATGTAAATTAAATTGCATCACATATTTGCTATATCGAAAACCAAATAGAATAAATAAAAATATACAAAATAAAAAATAAGTAAATAAATAAAAAAACTAATAAAATTAATCCAAATAAATAAATAAATGATCAAATTAACAAATCACCCCCGCTAAAATAACCGTGAGAACTAATAAAAATAAGCATAAAAAAGCAAAAACAAGTAAAAATAATCAACCCAAATAAATAAATCAAAAACTCTCTACCCGCCAAAATAACAGAATAGACTACGGCAAGCAATCTAAACATTGAACGAATAAATAGCTTTATCTTCCCAGACCAAAACAAACTTTTAAATAAGCAACAAATTTTATTACGTTAATAATATATAAAAAAACGAAAGGAATAAATAATACAAAATGAAAATGAAAAAGAAAAAAATAAATTAACCCAAACAAATAATTAAATGAATAAATAAACAAGCCACTCCCGCAAAAATGACCGCCAGAATAGATTACCCACAATGCACCACTGACCCATATGTATAAATAGCCAAGGAAATATCCAGCATTCATGGCCTGACGATTGCGTCCAGCATGAAACAGCCTGTCGCCTCTGAGTGTTGACTTCAATGCTCACGTTTATATATATATATTTATATATATATATATATATATATATATATATATATATGCACACACATTCATGCACGGAAATCTAGAGCTGACAAGTTTGTTTTTTTGTATGGGCTTGACTCGACTTCTGAGATTAATATTTTGCAAGGAAATATTTTAAGTACATTCATTAGTTTTGTTATTTTTTTTGAGTGTGGGGCTATTTTCATCACATCCAATAGCCGATCGTTGTTGAACCCACCTAATGGAACTAAGTGACTAAAGAAAGAATTTCCAACCAAATTCAAACGCTAATCTATCTCTCATGATTTTATTAAGACACGAATCAACGCTGCATTGTCGATGTAATAGTAATAATATATATAAGAAGCTTCAAAATTCTCATTCATTTTTCAATATTATTTTAGTAGTACTTATTCTGAAAAGTACTTTCATAGAGATTTTTTTTTTGAATGTAATATTATCCTTTTTAGCTGACCTGTTTCTCGAATTTTGAATTCAACTGGAGGTTAGCCAATTGATTAAACGAGAACAACCGAATCATGTCAGATAAGACACGCGCGCACACACACACACACACACACACACACACACACACACACGCACACACACACACACATATCGCTCATTTATAGAAAAATTCTTAAATAAAAGTTGTTTAAAGGGCCAATAAATGAAAAAAAAGTTTATAAAATTAGTACAAGAGCCGATGTGTTAGATAAATATCTTATCTCTGGGCATGCAAATACGTAAATATGTATCTCTAGAATATTAACATAGATAAAGGCGTGTTTGAGGATTTTCATTCATTTTCTTTTTCTTTTTATTTTTTTTTTTTCGTGAGAGATTAAATGCATCGATGTGTGTGGTACGAGTGAGAAAGTGAGGGAATTAGGTCAGATGGGATGATTGCCTTGTAAGAAAAAGAAAGAGAGTTGAAGTGTGCGCAAGGAGAAAAAATGGTGGCGAAACGGATGCAGGGAAACTGTAATGAATTGCATAAGGAAAGATATAAAAGATAAACATACAAAAGAAATCTAAAAGAAAGACATATAAAATATTAACATGAGGAGATGCGGAAAGAACGAAAGAAAATTAACCTGGAGTGGAGTAGAAAATGATATGATATAAAGAATGCGAAATTTAGGAAAATGGCCGAATGAGCGTTTTCAGTTCAAAGAAAGAATATATTAAGAACAACATGAGAATATATTGAAAGAAAAAAGAAGAAAATCTCAAGAAAAAGCACAGAAAAAAAAAGAAAGAAAGAAAGAGAAAAAGAAAGACAGAAAGAAAGAAAGAAAGAAGGAAAAATGTAATATGAATGCTAAGGAAAAATGAAGGAACCCTTTTTTTTCTTCTTTTATGTGTCGCGCCCTTTCAGGATGTGGGTAAGCATGAGTTTTCACATTTTATTTCATGTAGGTCTTAAGAACCCTGTGTCCCTTTACGATCTCCATCCATTTACTAAATGTCGACCTGTAGTTTATTCGCTACATATTTTAAATATTCGGAAGGGAAAGAAAAACAAAAAGAGAGAAAGAAAGAAAGAAAAAGAAAGAAAGAAAGAAAGAAAGAAAGAAAGGAAAGAAGGAAGGAAGGAAGGAAGAAAGAATATCATTGCTAAAGGAATAGTAAAAATCGTATTTTCTTTCTAAACAAATATATTTTCTTGCACTGGCAAACACAAGACATAAGTGAATCGGAGAGAAAGAATGAAAGCGAGAAATAAAATAATGAAAGAGAATAATTGCATAAAGAATTAGGAAAAATGATATTTCCCTTCAGAGCAAATATATCTTGCAATAGCCAACGTAAAACATGACTGGAATAAACAGAAAGAAAGAAGAGAGAGAGAGACCTTGAGAGAGAGAGAGAGAGAGAGAGAGACCTTGAGAGAGAGTGAGAGACCTTGAGAGAGAGAGAGAGAGGGAGAGAGAGAGAATAATTGGAAAAGAAAAAATAAAGAAGAATTGTATTTTCCTTCAGAACAAATATATTCTCTTGCCTTGGTGAACGCTAAACATAAATGAATCGGAAAGAAAGTAAGAAAGAAAGAAAGAATGAATGAATGAATGAATGAATGAATGAATGAAAGTAAGAAAGAAAGGAAGAAATAAGAGAGAAAGAAAGAAAGAACGAACGAATATAATTGGAAAAGAAATAGGAAAAAATGGAATTGTCCTTCAGAACAAATATATTTTGTACTGGCGAACGCAAAACATAAGTGAATCTAAAGAAAGAAAGGAAAAAAGAAAGAAAGAAAAAGAAAGAAAGAAAAAGAAAGAAAAGAAAGAAAGAAAGAAAGAAAGAAAGAAAGATGTAAAAAAGAATTCTGAAGTAAAGAGAGATTAATAAAGAAATTATGAAAGAAAGAAAAATAGAGAGAAAGGAAAGCGAACAAGTTCTGGTTTCTATTCTTTCAATTTCACGCTCTGTTGCATGACTCTGGTTGCAAAGATAAAAGACCATTTTTGCTGTTGGCGGTGGAAGTGAGAATCAGCCGTCTAACCCTTTTGTCTACTTCGTAATAAAATGAAACAATTCAAAATCTCATAATAAACGTTTGTAAACTTTTCCAAACATACATAAATCCAAGAGCAAAACAAACAAACAAAAAAAAAAAAACGAAGAAAAGAAACAAGCAAGAAAAAACAAATAAAAACGTGAGAATTAATATTTACGAAAACATATTAAGCACACCATATGAAAGCAAGCATCTGGTTTCTCCAACTTTATAAACCTTCTTTGTTCGGATAACGCAAAAGGAAGAAGCAGTCAAATAATAAATTAATTCATGATATATTAAATTTTCGCGTAAGTTGACAAATTCAAAAGTTCGAAATTTATGAGATTATCTAAGAAAGGTACATGGTCAGTAAAAGTTTGTGTTCTCGACTCTATCAAATATGAAGGGAAGGCCTTCCTATATTGGAAATCAGTTCAGATATATTCATTATTAACAGAGGCTGCGTTAATAGATTTTAAAACGATTCTCGATGTTTCAGCTGATGCGGGACCCATTTAAGAATCACAGGTTTGACAAGGTCAAAAGGTGACAAATAAGATGTTGTCTGCCAACCATAAATGAAACATGACACAAAATGTAACAATGCACCGTCAATAAAGATCAGAATATTATAAAAATTACCGTTAGATTTTGAGCTTTTATTTCGGATCGGACATTCATAGATTTTTTTGTCTGGTAGAGTTATTATATTTAAAACCTGAGTGCATATATATTGAAGAGATAACCTTCTGTTGCCAGGATTTGCAAGTACACACACACACACACACACACACACACACACACACACACACACACACACACACACATACATATATATATATATATATATATATATATATATATATATATATATATATATATATGTATGTATGTATGTATGTACATACGTACCTTAATGAGATCACTAAAAAGAGTATAACATGACGAAAAAGACGCCAAACTTGACGAAAACAAAACTTTATCATCTAAATGTTTATGTTATCATTAAGAGGAAAGATCAAAGTAGGTTTGGGGTATTTTTACATTCTTTAATCGTTCCTAGCATGTCCAAAATTTTCGTTAAAAATCTTGTTTTTTAGTCAACAAAATTGACAGACAATCGCTCATGTCAGCCATTTTTTCCAATTTATAAAAATAAAAGGAATATCTCATATTGAAATTCTTTTAAAAATCAATTATAATTTTTTCAAAACATATTTCAAGAAAATCAGAAATTATAATGTTTATTTAAAATATTTTGAACCAAGCTTAAGTTAGTTTCTGCGCTGAAAAGACGTAGTTTGAAAATAAAACAAAGCAAGTCATAACCTTTTGTGTCACTTGACAAGGTGACGAAAGACATTCATGACGTTTTGATAGCTTACGTGAGGATAACTTCTGCTACGGAAGGAGAGATGTAAAGTTATTTATATTTATGTGAAGAAATTATTTACCTCGTTATTTTTAAGGAAAACATTTAGCGCTCTATTTTTTTCATTTTTTTGTACTTAGCTTTGACCTTTAGGTTTACAATGCTTTATGGAAAATATATTATAAAGAAATTGAAATAAGACTGTTGAGAGTGAGATTAAATTTCATAAGAAACATATATAATTAATTTATAGGTAACTTTCTCATGAAATTTTATCAGAAGTGTTACATAAAATACACATTTAAATTTCATAAGATGATACTGATACTTGTAGGTACCCTTCTCAGTTGAAATTGAAAAATCAAATTAACTTCTCTACACATGTTTCGCAAAAAATAAATCTATATCTCAAAAGGACATTTACGAAACCGAATGCAGTTTTTAACGAATTTTATAATATTTTAACAACTTAAATGTAAGAATCTATTATAATTAAAGAAATAATAAATAATCTTATTAAAAATTCAGTATTTAAGTTAAATACTAGACAGAAATTCTATCCAATTTTTTATTGCACGCTTGATACTTCCGGTCTTCCTTAGATTTGATTTACAGTGTTATTATTAACACAAATTATATTTTTTATATACTGTTTTTGTTAGTTTGTAAGAAGCTTTGGAAATTATAATCTGAAAATATATATCTAATTAATAACAACATTTGTTAAATTTTACAATCTTTTCCCTAATTTTAGAAGAATTAACAACATAATGTAAAAATAAAATATTTCAGAAATAGCAAATAATTTTTTTAAAAATTCATTTGTCATCAAAATAGTTTTTTTGCTTTCAGACAATATTGTCCATGTTCATTTAAATAAATAAAATAAACAAAAGCTTTTGAAATTAAATAATATTTTCGTTTTATTGAGTTTTGTATAATACAATTCAGAGATGATATACAGGTAGAGGTGGTCCAACTAAAAAAAAAAAAAAAAAAAAAAAACATGATTTGGTTTCTTAAAAACCTTGTGCTTTTAACTAATATAAACACTAATCTTCCCAAAATTGAAATTATAGAGTTGTCGTACAATTAGTTCGGGGGTGGGGGTTATACATATGAAAAAATTATTTTTGCCAAGACTTTAAAAAAGAAAAACACATTTATAAAATATATTTATATGTGAACATTTTCTGAAAGTTTCATTAAAATCCGACAATTATTTTTATTTTTCCTAGATTTTCAAAATTAATGTCTGTCATACAAAAAAAAAAAAAAAAATGCGCGAAAATTCTGTTATTTTACTAGCTCCGGTGACACAAAGAGAAACAAGGTTTTTTTTAATAAAAATTTACAATGTTCTAAAAAGAAAGAACATTTTTGAAAAATAATTAACAAATACTTTGATTTTTCCTCTCAATAATAACGTAAACATTTAGACGCTAACATTTAGTTTTCGTGAAGTTTGGCGTCTTTTCCATCATGCTATGCTCTGTTTTTAGCGATCTCATTAAGGTACCTATATATATATATATATATATATATATATATATATATATATATATATATATATAGATACTTTAGTGAGAGCAGACAAACCTACCTAGGTTTCACCTAAACGGATCTTCAGGGAAAATTTGGACAAACTTTCCTGACGATCCGTTTAAACCTAGGTAGGGTTGTCTGGCTCACTAGGTGTATCTAGGTCTGCTCTACGGTTGTATTGAGCCCTTTTGTTAGTTAGTTGTTACTCGTATCGGGGTTTTTTCTTTGGGCTTCAGACCTGCATCTGTGCGATTTTTTTTGTCGGCAGAAGTTCATGTTTGTAGCTCTTTCGTTTTTTAAAACCATTTTTTCCCCCGAGATTGATTTGATTAGCAAATCAAAAATTCGAGGGTTTTTCGAAACGAGTCTAGTTATCTATATATATATATATATATATATATATATATATATATATAAATATATTATAAATGCTTGTGAGTTTGTGTGTTTGTGTGCACGAGTGTTTAAAAGATTTTAACACGTCTAAGTAAAGATTATGTAATTAAATTTTAATTACGTAAATGCATTTATGTGTTTGTGTGTGCGTGTGAGTTTGAATATACATGTGCATATTTGTCTGTGTCTCCTATTCCTATTATATATATATATATATATATATATATATATATATATATATATATATATATATATATATATGGTGGCTATAAATTTCCTATTATGTTTCATCATGATCCGTGTTAAGCTTCGTATAGTTGCTTTAATTTCGGGAGAAAATAAAGACAAAACATTCCAACATTTGAATATTTTCTTTTTTTATTGTGCACTTCTTCGATGTAAGCTTTCGGCTCACATGGGCCATCAGCAATATGATTATATGGATATCACAACAAAGATATTCAACATCGAATGCTTAGATATATAAAAACGTAAATAATCCACACACACACACACACACACACACACAAACACACACACACACACACACATATATATATATATATATATATATATATATATATATATATATGTGTGTGAGAAGTGTATATAAATATAAATAAATATATATATATGTATAATTCTTTATATATTATATGAATGGTACTTATTAGAAAGCGCTCAATATCAGAGATAGAGCTAACATATTTTGTTGGATAGATGTGAGATTGTCACAAACTCACATCTATCCAACCAAAATATATATATATATATATATATATATATATATATATATATATATATATATATATATATCTGTGTGTGCGCGCCAGCGTGTGTGTGTGTGTGTGTGTGTGGCATAACGATTGCGTCTATCAGAAACGGACTGTCGCCTGTAAGTGTCGACTTTATGTTTACTTTTATATTTACACACGCTCTATTTCTGTTATTGAGCCCTTTATCCCATAAATATAGCACACATTAAGATTATTTCTTCATATATATATATATATATATATATATATATATATATATATATATATAGAGAGAGAGAGAGAGAGTGTTTGAAAAGTGAGAAAGAGAGAAAATAAATAGTAAATTGTCTGAAGAAGTAATGGATATTTTTATTTATAAATCCACTGCATTTTTATCACTTTAATCGCTTTAGTGAATACTAATATTTGAATCGACGTTTCTTTATTAAACAGTATATTTATTTTCGTCTACTGGCCTGATTATTCGAAACTGCGTCTCTCTGGGTACAGGGAAACCGTTACTAGGTCCGGCGTGCCTTAACCGACTTGGACACGAAAATCCTTTGTCTATCAAGCAAGGACAGAACAGATCTTTAAGCGATATCCTTCTCCTAGTTTCTTAGGAATTACCATAGCTGCTTAATTTCTTATCCAAACGTAAAACAAAGTAATTTTCTAAGGAAACAATAGATTTTTATAAATAAACTGTGTCTAGAGATTATATTCAAGTTATGAATTGGTATAAAGTGTTGCGTCTTTAATGTTAAAGTCTTATTATGATGTTGTTTAGATTCTACTCAATATTATTAACTTAGATATATAGTGATAGAGAAAACTATTGTTTTTGGCTGGAAAAAAACTTTACTTTTTTACTATGTTAAAAACTAATTTGACT